TGATATTAGTGAGCAATGCAAGAACAAGGACAGTCATAGTAAGATACCATACCAGGATGTTTTCCGCCCACCCTCCAAACTGATGATCTTACCCTAGAAGCCCTTGACACCCATTTCTTAGCCTGAAACACGCATATATATAGTGAGAAGCAACTCATATAGAAAAGTATATTCAAACCCTAAACCCTAAACCCTTAACCCTAAATCCTTAACCCTAAACCCTAAGCCCTTAACCCTAAACCCTAAACCCTAAACTCTCAACCCTAAACCCTAAACCCTAAACTCTAAACCCTAAACTCTCAACCCTAAACCCTAAACCCTAAACTCTCAACTTTTTTCTCTTAAATAAAAAGGACTAAATTATCCTATAAACAAAATAAAATTCTCAACTTTATTAGTGATGATAAATAAAGTTCTCATAACAATTTAGAAATATAGGTAAATGTAGCTTGTACTAAATACAATAACAACTATTTTCTATCCATGTCTTTGGCTGAAATTCAGCAATGAAAGCAGCAACAAGGTTGAGGGCAGTTGGTGCATTGCTAAAATTTCATTCAATTCATTCGAAGCCAGTTTGACAGACACCGTATCATCACAAACATCTGTCAAATTATAGTAATAAGATACAAGGGTATATCATCTTTTCAATACCAAGGAACGTCTAACTATAAATAACTCTATTCAAGTTCCAACATCAATGACTCAATTCATGCTAACACAAAAGACCAATTCTTGACAAACCCTAGCAATTACAAGAAACTTGTCAATATTAACTAATTTAAAGACCAATTCTTCAAAAAACCATAACAATGGAGGAGCGCTATTACGACTTACCTAGCAATGAGGAGCGCTATAACAATGGAGGAGCTGCTACATACTTCAATAATGCAAGCATATATGGAGGGAGGTAAAAGAGAAGAGCTGAGTGCGTGCGTGCTTGAGGGATGAAAGCAAAAACAGGGGAGTGCGTGCTTGAGGGAGGCAGAAGAACAGGAGAGTGCGTGCTTGAGGGAGGCAGAAGAACAAACCCCTTCAATGGAAGCTTCAATTCAATGGAGGAATGGTTTGGGGAGAGTGAAGGTGCGCGTTTTTGGAGGTGAAAGAAGAACGTTTGCACAGTCTTGCTGTTTGTATTCAAAAACACGAAATTATTTTTTTAAATTGGCAACGGTTAACCGTTGCCAATCTACCCCTTTTAATTTTTTTTTTAAAATTTTATCAATTGGAAACGGTTAACCGTTGCCAAATGTAACCAAATTTTTTTTTTTAAATGGCGCTCACAACAAGTTGGCAATGGTTTTCATGAACCGTTGCCATAGGGGGGTTGCCTAATTCTTTTTTTCTACTAGTGTAATCAAGAAGGGGTTCGTTTAATTGTCATTGAATCAGGACCGCTTCCGCAATTAAGATTTACCTATTAATTTGATATGAAGATTAAAGTATATGTTATGAATTAATCCTAACAAGTGGTATCATGAGCCTCCTTCATATTAGATTAGTCGGTTAATTTAAATATGATAGTTTGTTTTAATCATATGATGTTATGTGATTTATGTGGAAATTTGTTGCGACTTATTTATTAATTAAATTTATGTCGCATCTTACCTTGTTCGTGAATTTTCAAAGTATGATAATTGAATATGGTTTCATTTCGGTTCATTCGTTGTATTTGAGATATATTTTGGTGAACAATGGTTTGGTGACTCTCACTACTAGAAAACACCTTATTTACGACGGAAAAATTCCGTCGGTACACCTTATAAATCCGTCAGAAAGGGCTATTTCCGACAGATTTCCGTTGGAAAACGTTGTCGGAAACCCCTTTGTAGGAAATTTGGCTTATACCGAGGGATTTTCCGGAGTTGAAGTGGATTCCGACGGAATTTTCCGTCGGAAACAGCACATTCTGACGGAAATTTCCGTCGGAAAATTCAATAGAAAAAAAAACAGCCCCCCACCCACCTGCCCAGACCACCCATCCCCACCCACACCCACCTGCCCAGACCCACTCATCCACCTCACGGAAACCCACTCAGCACCACCCACCCAACACCACCCCCTTAGACCACCACCCCCCAGACCACTACCCACCCAGACCAACCCTACCCACCACCCCCCACCCAGACTACTACCCGCCCAGACCACCCCCCACACCCACGAACCGAAACCCCTCCCCCCACCCACCCACCCACCCAACCCAGACCAAAACCCACCATGACCAACCACCCTAACCAACCACCCACAACCCCCCCCCCCACCCAGACCACCACCCACCACCCCAACGCAACCTAACCCAGACTAGACCCCCCACCACCCCAACCTAGAACAAACCTACCCCACCCACTCTAACCAACCACCCACCCTAACCAACGACCGAACCCAAACATCCAAAAATCAAAAAATCGAAAAAAGTAAACAAAAAAAATTGAAATCAAACAATTATCCCAAAAAATAATTTATCTTACAATTATCATACGAAATTAATCAAAATTTGATTATTTAAAAAAAAACCTAGATCTACAGTTGTGGTGGTTGTCATTGTGGCTGCCTGCTGGTGTTGTCGTTGCGGCTACCTGCTAGTGTTGTTGTTGTTGTTGAGGTGGTTGTTGTCGCTGCGCGTTGGTGTGGTTGTTGTTGAGGAAAGGCGAAATGGTGGAGAAAGAGAAGGAAGGAGAAGGCGAAATGGAGGAGAAAGAGAAGGAAAGAGAAGGAAGGAGAAGGAGAAATGGAGTAGAAAGAAAACAGAAGAGAAGAGGAAAGAAGAGAGGAGAGAGAGAGAGAAAAGAGGCGGAGAGGAGATGGGAGAGAAAATAGACATTTTAGGGGGAGGGGAAACCGGGTTTATTAGGGTTTGTTAGGTTTTTTTTATTATGTAAATATATTCCGACGGAATTAATTTTCGCCGGAAAATAATTGTTTCGACGGAATATTTCGTCGGAAAACTCTGACGGATTTTATTTCCGTCGAAACCTTACGTTTCCGACGGAATATTCCGTCGAAAGGCCCATTAATTTCAACGGATTTTTGTTCCGTAGGAAATCCGTCGTAAATTTCTGACGGAATAAAAATCCATCAGAAATTTACAACGGAAAACATGTCCGTCGGAAATCGGTCTGTTTCCAGTAGTGTCTTTGTCGTTCGTTTGATTGGAATCAGAATAATGATCATGGATTTGCGTTTTGTTTTTTGTGAAATCAATTTCATTGCATTTGCTGCAATATGGTTTAATTATCACTCCAATATAGTTTGATTAATTCACGAAGTATTATATGCTGATACTTCCATGATTTATCATTTATTTATATTATAGTATCATACCGTACCCTTGAATTCACCACCCGGATTTTATTTATTGAAGAAATCACCCCACCACTACCACAATTCATCACCCACCACCACCGCAATTCACTCCACCACCACCAAAACCTCCCACCAACTCGGATCTACCACCGACACCCCAAACCCACAACGAACCAACAACCAACCCAACCAAACCCCACCCATACCAAACCGAAACTCTAGATCAAATTCCTTTTCTTCACCTCGAATTTGGTTTATAACAGTCAAATTCGACCATGAAAACTCTAGATCTAGAGTTTTCATGGTCGAATTTAATCATTAAAACCTTCGTTTTGGTCATATATCGATTTTGCAACAAAAACCTTCATTTTTACCATGAAAACCGAAAAAAAAAGAAAAAAAAAATGAGAATGAGAGAGGCGTGAGAAAGTGAGAAAGAATAGAGGAAAGAGAAAGAAGGGAGGAGAGGAGAAAAGGAGAAAGAAAGAAGGAGAGGGAGAGGAGAGCATGAGGAGGGAGAAAGAAACATGGGGAAGAGGAGAGAGAAAGAGAAGGTTAGAAGGATGAAGTTGAAAAGAAAAAAAAGATGGGATGGCTTGGTTTGGGTGGGTTGTGAATGTCCGTAACTTATTTTGAGGTTTTTCAAGGTTTTTTTTTTTTTTTTTGAACGGGTATCTGGGTACCCGAGAATAGCAAGGTTTGTCCCATGTCCCGGCCCATGAAAGTGTTATTTTACCGGGACGGGTACCTGACCCGAAAAAAACAGAAAATTTTAAAAAATTTCCCGTCGGGTTTTTTGCGGGTCGTCGGAAAATCGGGACGGGACAACCGGGTCGGGTTTTTTTAACACCCCTACCACCAGCCAGCCAAGCAGCCACCCTGTTCTCCTCCCCTCCACTGTCGGCATCGTCGGCCCACCTTTCCCTGCCGGCGATTTAACTCCCCCGGTCGGCCGACACCAAGATCCGCCCCCAATATGATTTCCCTACTCCCTTTTTCCCCCACCACGACGCCCTTAAGCTTCAATCGACGATATTTCCCCACTCCCTTTTTTCCCCACCAAGACCCGCCATAGTTACAGAAATTAAATTCGAGGTCGTTAAGCTTCTGGTTCGGGTGGCTAGGGCGTGGTCAGATGCTGGTGGGGGAGGGGGTGAGTTTTTATTTTTTTTAAAAAAAAAATTATTTTTAAAATCAATTAAATGTTAAAAAAAATAATAATAATTAAAAAAACTAGCTATGGCTAGATATTTAGTTTAAACTAGATTAGGGCATGAATGCACAGACTCATAATGGTAAGATCTCGTCAAAAAAAAAAATAATGGTAAGATTGTTTATTAATTAAATTCATGTCGCATCTAACCTTGTTCGTGAATTTTCAAAGTATGATAATTGAATATGGTTTCGTTTCGGTTAATTCGTTTTATTTGAGATATATATTTGGTGAACGATGGTTATGTGATTCTTTGTCGTTGGTTTGATTGGAATCAGAATAATGATCATGGATTTGAGATATATGTTATGAATTAATCCTAACATACATCACATCATCATGCATGTCTATCAAACTTTAGTCACACACCACATGCGTAATAACCCGTTTATCTTAGAAAATTTGTCAATAAAAACCGTGAAGAAGGTTGAAATCTAATCATGATCGTGTTCGATCTATATATTTTTTGTAACAAAATTAGTCTATCTCAGTATCTCTTGCTCTCTCTTCACAGTGGTTTAAAGGTGATCCTATATTTGCTTTAATTTTCCAATTCAACCAAGAAATAAATAGTTCGTATTAGCTGCATAATTACCCGAGGCAATGATACATAAACAAGAAGCATATCGATTCAGAATGACAGAAAATTAAAAATTACTCTTTATAGTGTTACAAAGAGAATTTCCCTTATTTTATACGGGATTACAATTGCATATATCAAACCAAAAGGAAGGAAAACCCAGCTCATAGATGAGTGACGGAAACATCAACATAAAAACCAATAAATAAACTGATTTAAAAAAAAAAAAAAAAAAAAGGCCTCATGTGATTCCAAAGCTTCAAGGATGCATTGTAAGCGCATCAATCAGCTGAGAGTTTACAAGGGCATTGGCCCAAAACTAGTGATATGCCATAGTGAAGCATACACAATTTACATAGCTTCAGGCAGAGTCATAATCACCTCGAATATGGGTTTTGCAGTGTTGCCAATGGAGCCACTTATGTACCCCCCTTCTTCGTTGGCCTGGTTCACCAATTTCCCATTACTCACCTTGTCACTAAGAGCTTGCCATATTCCTACACACTCTGGCTGCTCATAGTGCCCTGGTTCGCGAATTTCAGTATACACCTATAACAAGATCTTGAACATTACAAGAGGATTTTCATGGTAAAATCACTAGCCAAAATAAGTCAGTTGATGTATACATAATCCGTTATGCAAGCCAAAGAAAAAAGAAAGGATGATTACTTATTAGTAGTTTAGCAAGAAAAATAAGACTAAAAAGACTTATGATTATGTTCCGTGTCCCCATACTTGTATATTTATTAACAAACTAGCTTGTATTCCGTACGTTTTAGCTGAGCACTTAGTCAATGTGCTCGAGTTGTTCACTAATGTACAAGCTCAATCACACTTAACACGAAGTATGTATCAATGTATATAAGCTTAAGTATACATATATACCTGGTTGGTGGGGCCCGAATAATTGTTAGAAAATCCCATGAACCAGTGTTGCTCCTTGCCCTGATTGTTGAAGGCAGAGTATACAATGCCGGCTCTTGAATTCTTTTCCTGGTTATAGTATTGACCGTGCAAGAACGCACCCCACTGCCCATTCGCAATGATCACCGGGTACGCAGACTCACAAACACGTCCCTTTCAGTCACGAGCAGTCACCTATGTCATTGTGTCACCGGTCGCATTGTAAATCAGACACATTGTGCTCACAACATCCTCCCCAAATCGAGCCTGGAGCTTCTCCACGGAGTTTCGAGCATCCACGGCCTTGCCCTCGGCGTTCACCTTCTCTAGTGCAACCTTGGCTCGGTCTTGCTGGGTGATCGAGTTCTTGCCTTGATATTCAGGCATCGTTCTCAGGGTTGCCGTCGTAACTGGAGTTCCAAACACGTTTGAGCCCATTTTCGTTAATTTTCAACCTGCAAAGATGTGTTATGTTAAAAATATTTCATGTTACAACAACATACGGAGTATATACATACATATAACATAAACAACTAATGTAAGCACAAAACCAACCCGGTGGCTGGAAGGTGCGGCGGCAGAGGTGGCTGAGTGGCTAAGAGAGAGAGAGAAAGAGGAGCGTTATTTTGTTCTCATACTACATGCGGTATTTATAGCTTTAGTGAGGGGTGATGGCTATTGGGTTTTTTAGGTTTGAGAGGAGAAAGAGTGTGATGGGTAATGAAGTGGGGAATGGGAATGGAAAAGTCAGGGGGTGGAAAATCACTGTGGAACATATTTTGGTAAAATCAAATACAAAAGTGGGTAAATGGAATGATAGAAAGTAGCAAACAAACAACAACAAAGGGAATGGGCCCTGTCCATTTCCTTTCCCTTTGATTATTACCTCCAACTAAATACCCCCTTAATATTTTATTCATTGTTAGTCATCTACAACCTCACATTACGAGAGAAATTATATGGTAGTCATGTAGGAAATAAAGGTTATGGCCCTGTTCCGATTTATTGAAAACAATCGAACTGAACTGATTAGAACTGAACTGAACTGATCGGGGCTAAACTGAACTGATTGGAGCTTAACTGAACTGAAATATTTGATTATAGATTAATGATTTTTAACTATGGATTAGTAATGATATTAATCCACTAATAATTATAAAAAAATAAAATGAAGTTCAAAATTAATCCACTAATAGTTTTTTTTTTTGTTTGTTTAAATTTTTTTATTTTCATGTTAATTAATGCCTGTGAAATTAATCTAATGTAATAGTTTGGCTGTTAAAAAATGACACAAAATCTAACCAAAAAAAAACGAAGTAAATATCCAAAAGTAAAAAAAATGAAAAACAAAAGAAACAAAGACCAAAACTACGCACTTCCATTCTTCTTCTTCTTCTTCTTCTTCTTCTTCTTATTATTATTATTATTATTATTATTATTATTATTATTATTGTCGTTGTTGTTATAATATATACTAAAAAGTATGAAATTTGGCTTTAATTATTATCATTAGCGATATCATTAGATATAAAGATGAACTTAAAAAGATCTGCCCAGAGGCACGCCTAAACTAAATTGTTACTAACAATCATTAGCTAAATCATATAAAACAAATAAATTAGCAAAGAACTGAATTGAACTGAACTGAACTTATTGGAGCTGAATTGAACTGATTGGAGCTGAAGTGAACTGAGCTGAACCAAAATGACCTAAACTGAAATTAAGCTGAATAGAATAGGCCCATATCAAGGCCATTGATGGATTGATGTAGTAGGGGGGGTGGTTTTCAAATGACCCCACTTGGAATTCTAAAACTTTGTACAGGTGTCAATTTGTTATTAGGCAAAGAAAACAAAATATACTGTAAACCAATGGTTTTGTGGTTTGTGATTTTGTGCAATAGTGCGGTAATATATGATACGAAGACACGAAGTACTCAATTGATTTAAATTTTATTGATTTATTTTAATTACATTCTAATTCTAATGGTAGATTTCAACTAATATACAATTATGCAAGTTAATTACTCAACAATCAATAGATTAAAGGTAAGTTTTGTAAAAAAAAAAATAATAATAAGTTTATAATATTTGTAGAATTTTAGAAAATTGATCAAGTATTGTGATAAGTAGTAGTTTTAATACTTATCTTACCATAGATTTATAACCTTAATTATTTGACTTTGTCTTTCTTGAATCCACTTAATCCGAAGTCTAGATCCGCCACTGATCAAGGCTACAATAAAGAGAGTGAAGATGAATTATAAAGTAGGGAGGATAAATTTATGTAAAATAAAATAGTAAACATAATACTTTGTAATACACTTATATTATAAACAAAAAATGTGTAATATTAATAATAATTTTTTTCTTTTTGCAATTATATTAATTATGAAGGATTGTGTATTTGGGAGGCGGGGATTAGGTGTGGGTGGATATCCAAGTGGGGGTTGGGGCAGGAATGGTTTTGGAATTGTATCCGCCGGGGCGGGGATGGGGATGAATTTTAGACCCGCCGCGGGGATGGGAATGGGGATGAGAATTTTAGATAGGGATGGGGATGGGAAGGCCAACATTCGCCCCGCCCCATTGACATCCCCATTGACAACTTGACAACTTGCATAAACAGATACGTACTCCCTACTCCGTAATAATACAAGATAATTTAAATTAAAATTGGTTGATTAAATGAGCAAATGACCTCGGGTGTACGGTACACCCGACTGTATATAACAAATTTTATAGATAATCTATATATCAAGTTGTTGACCATCCAATTGAGACTATTAGAAGAAAACACACCTTAAAGTTAGATCCAAAATAATTATAAATTGAGATTATTTTAGAAAAATCGATCAAAATTAGAATTATTAAAACCAAATTTATCCTTACAAAAATTGTAAATAAAATATTCTCATATCTATTGACTTGAGCTTCTTTCTTTTTTTAATCGATGTCACTGAATCGGAAAATTGAATTTGATAAACTTAATAGTAATATTATACTATAGTTGATATTCGATAATTGGCTAGTTCAACTGTCCACACTGTTATTCATAATGACGTTAATCAATCAATTGCCACTTGCTAATTATATACTTATATAGTTATATTTATTATTTTAGAAGTCATAGATCAAAACGTCGGTTTTCATTCTCTAGTCGGTTCAAAAAAATAAAATTTGTTCTTTTGTAGTTAATTAAAGATGATTGTGAGCGTAATACATTATATTAAATTAGTTGTTTATGAATGTTGCCATGTGGTAGCCCTCTTATTTTTAGGTTAATAACAATGGCCAATAGGGAAACGAGTCCGACCTAGAGTCTTGGGGGCTAAGAAAGGCAAGTACGAGTACCCCTAGGCCTAGAAAAGGTGAGCAAAATGTGATCAGCTCAAGAGAATAGTAAAAGAAAGACAAGAAAAATATAAAAAAGAAATGAACACGTACCTCAAGAAACGGTCGTGCCATGAAATGGAGATCCGAGGCACCTCGGTAGCTACCGCGGAACCCATCACCCGGGTTGCCTTGCCCATAGCAGTAAGCATACGGGCATACGACACCTCCGCCCAGCTTTGGTTACCTACTTGCCCCAGATCACTGAGGTAAATAAGTAACCCTATGGCGAAACGTTCTACCCGATCACTCAGAATAGAGACGGAAATAACATGAGCAATGTATATCCGAGCCAGCTGCTTAGGAGTACACTGGCGGTCAACCTCATCAGTTGATAACTCATCGGCAAGAACCGAGTACGGACAAGACTTCGCATACACATGGAGGGTCGTCACAAGACAATCCCCCACGAGGTCACGCAATCTCTCGTCTGACCCCTTTACGTTCTTCATGACCACATGCTCGCCTCCGAAAGGAAAATCCGTGATCATGGAGAAGTTGTAGGGGGTAACCGTTATCTCTCCCCACGGGAAGTGAAAAGTGTTGGTGGAATACCACCAAAACTCTAACAACCCATGAAGGAAAGCCAGTGACACTACTAGAAAAAGGCCGAATTCCGACGAACAATTTTCGACATACATGTATTTCCGTCAGAAAATGCAAAATTCCGACAAATTTATACTCTGTCTGAAATTTCCGACAAATTCAACAATTCCGTCGAAATCCGTCGGAAATTTTCGACGGAATATAATTCTGTCTGAATATATGTATTTTCCGACGGATTTTTCCATCGGAACACTACATTTCCGAAGAAATTTCCTTCGCAATCTATTTTTGAAAATTTCTGTCAGAATCTATTTTTTTTAAAAAAATTCAAAAAAACCCAACCTTAAAAGGCTAAAACAGCCAAACCCCCCTCCTTAACTTCATTTCCGCCTTTCCTCTCCTCTTCTCTTCTCTTTCCTCTTCTGCCGGATTTCTCCTTCTTCTCTTTCCTCTTCTTCTGGATCTCTCCTTCTCCTCCTTTTTCTCGATCTAAATCTCTGCTCCCTCCTATTTCTCTTGTCTTCTTTCTCTTTTCTCTCTTCGTCCTCCTCTTCTCTCCCTCCATCCTCCTTGCAATCAATAACAACAACGACGCACCAACGACAACCACCACCAACATCAGCACCAACAACAACGGCGCAACAACAATAAACCGACAACCACCGTTAATTTTTTGGGCTAATTGTATATCTAATTAATTTATTATGTAATTGTAATGTTAATTTATAAATTTCATTAGATAATTGTACATTTATATTTCCTTTAATTTTTGTTGTTTAATTATCGTTTTTTTTTTAATTTTTCTACGAAATTCTGATTAAATATGTAGTTCTACTAGTTTTGAATTTTTTTTTTGTGGTTTTTGTCAATTTTGTTGTGTTAATTTTCGCATTTTTGGACTGATTTTTGTTTTTTTGGAGTTAATTTTCGATTTTTTGAGTTTTTTGTGTGGTGGTGTCGGTGGTGGTGTGTGAAGGTGGGATAGGGGTTTAGGGTTGGTGTAGGTGGTGGTTTGGGCAGTTAGGGTTATTTATAGTCAACGTTTTCAAACTTGGACCCCAAAAATGATAATGAGGCAAAAATAAGGGACAAAGGGAGTACTAAAATAATAGCCGGTGATGGTGTAGATCATTATACTTTGAACTACACGAACAATGATATTTAGCTAATCTTAAGACTACAACTCAAATTATTGATCCAGTCAAAATAATGTTATACTAATCCATAACTTTATACTAATAAATATTTAACTATGAGAATATGAGATGGTTAGATGTTATGTGTATGTATAGTCGATTGAAAGAATCAATATTACGTTCTTAATCATTAATGTTTTCTTTCATTATACAAATCAAACTACTTTGTAATATCTTCATATATAATTCATGCAAATATATAATGATAAACGAGTCTTAATTTTCAGTCTTGTTGACTAATTAAGTATCAAATACCAAGTTGCAAATTTCAATGTCACAACAACTCATCAAATCATGATTATGACACTATTAATTAAATGATCAAA